TCCTCCTTCCTCCGCTTCTCTTTTAGGGGGGGGAGAGCCTTTTAAATCGCCGTTTTTGATTGAAGCTTCGACTTACAGTTAGCCGCTTTGAAGTCTCTGAGTTGATTCAACCGCTTTACCACTCCGCTGTCCCGGTGGCTTTGCTGGTCCCCATTACAGGGCACAGCGCTGCTGGAGCCGTTTGGGGCAGGAGAGACTTTTTGGTGGGGGAGCCTCAACTCCCGGCTTTTCTAGCCGGCAAGAGGCATCCCCCAGTCTCTCAGAAGCACCCCCTGGTTCGGAGCCCTTTAACAAAGGCTCCTTAGAGTCTCCGTGATTGTGGGACCCCTCCAGGCAGCATGTGGGCGATCCGATTCCGGGAGCTCACCCGAGAATCGGTCACCAGGCGCGCAGCCATAACCGGAAGACGAGGACCTGTCTTTCTAAGCTTATATGTTAGTTTGTTACTTGTTATGAGAAGATTTCCCGAGCATCTCCTCCAACTCGCTTCATAAAGGCAATTTCCAGAGTCCTTCCGCCTTTACATCTATACTAAAGGTAAAGGTAAAGGTCTCCCTTGCTCGAAAGCCAGTCGAATCCAACTCTAGGGTTGCGGTGCTCATCTCCATTTCAAAGCCGAAGAGCCAGCGCTATCTGAAGACGTTTCCGTGGTCCCTGTTTAAATGCTCATGGATATCTCCCACAACAGGCTGGCACGCTTGTAAATAAAGTCTTTCAGAAGTATCTGTTTACGGCTGTCTCTCTCCCCCCCCTCTCCTCCTCCGTTTATGTAAATGCGTCAGAGAGGCACCCCTCTCCAACCGCTTAAGGGGTTTCAGGAGGGGGGGAATTCGCTTCAAGTATCCGTTTACAATCGTTTCTCTCTCTCCCCCTTCCTCCGTTTATGTAAATGCATCTGAGAGGCGTCCCTCTCTCAGCACGTTCCAATCGCTCAGAAAGTTTTTTCCTTGGGGAGAGGGTGTTCTCTTCTGAAGACAAATCGCTCATTTTAACTCACCGTTCTCTCCTTAACTCATAGTTCATTGTTGGTCTTTATCTTGACCACACTCTTAATCACTCCTCCACTAGATCTCCTGTGCTTGACCGGATCGACACAGCTTGTGGCCTCGCTAAGAGGACACAGTCAGCGAGAGGGACCATCAGGGCGGAGGGGAGCCTCCATCTCCCTGCAGTTAGCAGGAAAAGAGACTCACCCTCAAAAGCCCTATGGCTTGGGGGGTCCCCCCAAACTCCTGTGGTGGGTCCGATCCAGCGGCACCTCTCCCCCCTCCCCGCTGCTGTGTGGTGTGCCTTCCCAGAGAGCTGGAAAAGGCGTCTGCCATTGTTGTGCCGTAGACCCCGCCTCAGCTCTCCCACACTGTTTATCATTCTCCTCCCGCCTTAAAGTGGTACCTGAAAGTTCCATTTAGGTTGCAGTTTAGAGCTGTTGATAGACTAATTCATGTACAATAAATCTAATTCCCTTTTTAATTCAAGAGCTATCAGGACATACTGTAGCAACGAATTCCACAAGTTGACTAGGTATTCTGTGAAAAACTACCTCCTTCTGTTTATCCTGAATTTAATAGTCATCGATTTAATTGTGTAACATTGAATTCCAGCATTACAAGAAATGAAGAAAAAATTATTCTATTCACTTTCTCTAGCTCATTCATAATTATACATGCTTCTGTCATCATCCTTTGTGGTCACTCCCCCCCCCCAACTATATAGCCTTGAATACTTTAGTCCACCCTCTTTACTTTAGTTCGCCTGTGCTCCATTCCCTTGATGATGACAGTCCATAAGCAGATTCATTTATCAGTCATTCCTCCTGTAAGTATTTGAAAGCTTCTGATTTACTTGTCATAAAGGGAAATGGTCATTCTGCAAGAAAATGGGAAACAAGCTCAAATACCTGAGAGAGTATCAGTTGTCCGTGAAAGTCCCGCACAAATTTTCTTAAAAAGGCAAAATATGCAGCGTCTCCAGCTTTTCCAGCAAAAGACCGCAGAAGGAAATAACCCTGGAAGAAGCCACCAAGATCAACAAGATGTTAGTTATATTGTGTATCTATATACAGTACTGAGAACATCAGCTTTAGCATTCATTTCTCACCTTCAAGTAGTGAACCTGTAGGAAGGTCTTTCCAGCATTAAGGCCATGTTTAATTACAGATGCTCCAGATTCACACACTTTGCCAGTGTTCTCTTTGTTGGGCCTATAAGGGCATATTCATGAACTAGGTTAACAAATACACTGATGATACTTTATCAAGTCTCATTATCAGAACATCTGATTACTTTGGGGGTTTGTTAGATATTTATAAATTCAGACACTATGTGACAGTATCCTATGATACCGAGTCCCATTTAAGTCCAAATCAACTTACCAGCATTTAACAAACACATACACACTTGATTTAGGCAATTAAGTTCATGAGAACAGAAATGTATTTTCCCTAATGTAACTGTATACGACTGCACAGCAGCTGAAGTTAAGCTAGAAGCCAAGTCTAAGCTGGTGTGAAGCTACTTAACTCTTCTCCTAGACATGACATCATATTACATGGCATTCTGCTATGACATGCTACATAGGCCGGAGCGACATATCATCCAGAAAGGGAAATAATATGAGACTGAGACACTCCAGATGGAGGGAAATGGGAAGGAAGGATATTGAATTTATTACATACAGTTACATATTTTGGCTGCTTCTACCTGAGTGTGGGCTTAACAGCTCACAAGACTACACCTGCAAGGATGAAAGGGCTCTTTCATCCATGCACTCAAATGCTGAAAACAGACTTCAGCTTTCCTTCTTTTCGTTTTGTCTGCAATCTCCATGCATATTGGAGGAAAAAACTGGAAGAGTTTTGGAAATCAAAAGCCTGATACATTCGGCCTTCAGGATTCTCACCTAAGCAATATCCACAACCCATCCAAACTATGTGAATTCTTCATCAACAGATGTCCAGTTACCAAATCCCTGCCAGAAGACAGGAGCTCTTTGGTTTAAACCACTGATTTTTTTTTTTAAAAAAAAAACAACCACAGGCAACATCCTCTTTCTACGGAAGAGGAACCTTCCAACTGAGAAGACAGTTAAGGGAGGGTTCACATCAGTTCTTTTCTTAGCATATATGGAGGCTGTGTAAAGTAACACTTGACCTTTGCAGCTTGCAATTCAGAAGGGATAAAGGGGAAAATGCCACTTTTACCTTTTGATAAAGCCAGATAGCTTGAGCTTATCTTCTGAGCATTCAGAGAATGCAAATCCAACATTCATGTAGCAAAATGGACAATTCTTACACAAATACCTGGGGTCAAGAGGGTCAAGTTTCTAGACCCCAATGAAGCTACTTTCCTCCATTCCTGTACTTTCTGCTGCCACCAACATGCCATCAAGAGGCCCATTTGCCTCGTGACCTGTAACCAGACAACTTAAAAATCTCCCTACTTTCTTTAAATTAAGGTAGGGAAAAATTTGGAAATCTCCCTTGTTAAAGATCTTCCCAACTAAGTGGACTCTTCCTGCTTTTTAAATAAGTGCCAAATTTAGGTTTGTTAGTTGTTGCAAAGACCAAATAACTCCAGTTTAATAAAAAGAAAACTTTTATTTTAGCTGTATGAGTCCAACTTTCCAGACCCCTGCTCATGGTGCCCCAGGAGTCCTGGTCTCCATTGTTTCCTTTGGGGGAAATAGGGGATCTTTCTGGGGATCTACAGTGGGTGTTTGTACACCAAATAGCACCAACGTTGTAGGGTCCCAAGACTTCCTTCTCTCCTAAAGATCCTGCCAAGTTTTAAAAGGATTGGACAAAGGGGTCCAATTTTACAGACCTCTGAACAAGACGTCTTCAACTATCCAGGTCTCCATTGTTTCTTACAGTTGAAACATCATGTTTAAAACCTTAAATCTAATCTATTAAAAGCAATCTCCAGTTCCCCCACAAGCGGAGGAGGAGGAGAGGAGGAGGAGGAGGAGATTGGATTTATACCCCGCCCTTCACTCAGAGTGGCTTACAAACTCCTTTCCCTTCCCCTCCACAACAGACACCCTGTGAGGTAGGTGGGGCTGAGAGAGCTCTTTCCAGAACTGTCCTTGAGAGAACAACTCTGACAAAACTATGGCTTGCCCAAGGTCATCCAGCAGCTGCAAGTGGAGGAGTGGGGAATCAAACCCAGTTCTCCCAGATTAGAGTCCGCACACTTAACCACTACACCAAATTGGCTCTCCAGCAAAAACTTCAACAGCAAACAACAAACCAGCACAAAAACAGACAAAAACTCCCTCCCAAAACAGATTCCCCCCCCAGAACAATGCAAGGTCCCAAAGCACCAAACTTTTACAAAAATCCAAACCAAAGCAAAAAACCTCCATAAAACAAAGCCAGGGGGGAAATGGGGGGGAAACAGGTAAATACACACACACACAAAAAAAAACCCCAACCAGATATGAGATTTCCTTCCCCACTACACAGAAATTTAACAAGAAAATAAAACACTACATACTAGAACCAGAATTTTAAAATTCCCACCCCACAACGCCAAACCCCAGCACTAAAATACAAAAATAAAATAAAATAAACCCTTGCCAACAACAGTAAAGCAATGAACTAGTAACACAGCCACAAAATCAGGCATGTCAAACCAGTCCTGAAGAGGCTCCCAGGTCATCAGAAGCCAGCGCAGCAAAAACATGTAGGCACAATCACGTCCCACTCCACAGAAGTTCCAGTGAAGTCAGAAGAACTAAGGAAAATGGCTGGCTCTGGCCTAGATCAAGCGGTCTTATTCTCTCAGGCTTCTCCAATGTTATGTGGATTGATCAGGGAGCACTGTTCTGACCAGATCTGGTGCTTTGAGGTCCTTTGCTGTTTATATTGCCTTGGAGGAAGCATGGAGTTTTTCTCCGTAGGAAACAATGGAGACCAAGATGGCTGGGGTTGCTCTGGGATCCATAAAGTCAGACCCCTTTGTCCCATCTCTTTAAATCTAAGAGGAGGGGTCATGAGAGGGGAAGTGGGATCTATTTGGTGGTCTCCCTCTCTATGCTTATACTGTGCAATATATGTTTTCAGAAGAGAACTGCATATAAGTAGCGATGCCAGCCTCCAGGTGGGGCCTGAGGTCTCCCAGAATTACAGCTCATCTTGAGACTTCAGAGAAGAAAATGAATGCTTTGGAGGGTGAACTCTATGGCATTGTATCCAGTGAGGTCCCTGTCTCTCCCCCCCTCCCCCCGGCTCCACTCCCAAATCTCCAGGAGTTTCCCATACTGGAGCTGGCAACTATATATGCCTCGTCCCCTGGCAACTCTGTGCAGCTGTCTATTTTCTGGACTTATATAACAGCTCTTTTTTTGAACTTACATAATACAATATCACTTCTAACATTTGGAAAATACTAGTAAAGTAATTCATTAAAGCTGACTTTGAGGACAAATTAGATTTTCCAAGATAGCATCCCTCTTCATTAGCCTGAACATAATAACCTTTTGTGTCATGCATCACATGGAATTTTCTCCCCCTTCTGATGCACATTCATGATCTCATTTCCAAGATGTGCCTGCACTAGGGTTGCTAACACCCCCTAGTCCAGGAAGGGGTTCCCCTGCTTTTGCCGGCTCCTCTCCACCTGCCCACAGGTCTTATCAAATGTGTTATTCCAATCTTAGCTGTATTTATTGCTCAGTTACTTATGCATCTTGACTCTAACTAGCCCTTCCTGGCAACTAAACCTCCCCCCCCCCATACGTAACATTTGAGGAAATCTGTCTCAACGTATCTGAAGGAGTGTGTACCTACACATGCTAAGTCTCTCAGTTCTCACTTATACCCAGAATTGAACTTTGCTGGTCTTGTGAGGTGCCATTGGACTTAAATTCAGTTCTCACATCTGTTTCTTTATTCTTGTATTTATATGGTAATTCACTGTTATTCACAGATCTTACCAACTGCCTTAATCCGACCTCAGCTATAATTGCCCAGTTACTTATGCAACTAACTCCCCCACCCTATCTCTACCTATACGTAATGGCTGAAGAAGTTTTGTTTCACTGTATCTGAAGAAGTGTGCATGCACACAAAAGCTTATACCTTGTATAAAACTTTGTTGGTCTTAAAGGTGCCACTGGACTCAAACTTTGTTCTGCCGCTTCAGACCAACATGAATCTATCTTCATCAAAGACCCCTGAATAAACTTAGCAGTTGTTAGTGTTGTTTTTAATTGGTTTTATGGATCACCCAATCTCTGCTACTGCAGGGCTCTGGGTGATGTATAGTGACGATAAAAATATCAAAACAGAATAAAACATCTAAATAACATTAATACCACAAATCTAAAAGACTCAGGTGGAGAATTCCAATTATTTCCAATTACAGACTGCCGACCACTTCGCACGGGGGGGAAGAGGGGCAGGGAGTACAGAGAGCAAAAGAGAGTGCCAGCCAAGATGGTAACCATCGCCGTCCTCAACCAAAAGCCTAGAGGAACATCTCTGCCTTACAGGACCTGCGGAATTGCATAAGATCCCGCAGGGCCCTGATGGTGTTCAGCAGAGAGTTCAACCAGGTTGGGGCCAGGACCAAAAAGGCCCTGGCCCTGGTCGAAGATAGCTGGATGTCTTTGGGGCTGGGTACCACCAGCAATTGGTTAAGACGCTGAACTTCAGGCTGTGGAAGGTTGGTAGTTCAGCAGTTCGAGACACGAGTGTGCCGCATGATGGAGTGAGCTCCCGTCTCTAGTTCCAGCTCCTGCCAACCTAGCAGTTCGAAACCAAGAAATTGCAAGTAGATAAATAGGTACCACTTCAGTGGGAAGGTAACAGCGTTCCGTGCGTCTTGGTGTTTAGTCATGCCAGCCACATGACCACGGAAATGTCTTCAGACAGCGCTGGCTCTTCGGCTTTGAAATGGAGATGAGCACCGCAACCCTAGAGTCGGATTCGACTGGCTTTCGAGCAAGGGAACCTTTACCTTTTTACCACCAGCAAATTGCTGTCCACAGAGCATAACACTCTCCTGGGGACATAACGAGGAGATGGACCCGTAGATACATTGGTCCCTGACCGCTCAAGGCCTTGAACATCAACACCAAGACCTTGAACTTGACTCAGTACTCCACTGGAAGCCAGTGTAGCTGGCACAGCACCGGTTGTATATGTACCATCTGTGACATTCCATCCGGACTTGCGCAACCTCATTCTGGACCAGCTGG